GAAAGATGATATAGATGATGAGAGATGAAAGATGATATAGATGATGAGAGATGAAAGATGAAATAGATGATGAGAGGCCTTGACTTTAAAGATGACGTCATCTAGCAGAGTATAGATGTCAACCACAGACTATTATAGACAGTCCAGTGGAACGCTAGCAGGCTCCCAACTTGTAGGTGTTTTTAAACTAAGTGTTCACCAGATGTACTCTAAATACCCATTGACATGTATAATGGGTGGACTCCCTAAAATAATATTGTCGATAAAGGAGATGAACTCTGACAACTATGGACTTAGTGCTTATTAGATATATATTGGCAGCTATGGACTTAGTGCCCTATAGATGAACATTGGCAGTTATGGACTTAGTGTCTTATAGATGAACGCTGGAAGTTATGGACTTAGTGCCTATTAGATAAACACCGACAACTATGGACTTAGTGCCTATTAGATAAACACTTGCAACTATGGACTTAGTGCCTAATGGATAACACTGACAGATATGGGCTTAGTGTCTATTAAATAAACATTGGCAGCTATAGACTTAGTGTCTAATGGATAACACTGGCAGCTATGGACTTAGTGTCTATTAGATAAACCATGGCAGCGATGGACTTCGTGCATATTCCTTAGGATAAATCCTTAGGAATACATATTGAAGAATACATATTGACAAGTATTATGGAGGAATCTCTTAACTAGTATTGTCAGCATAAATGATCTTTATGGTAGATCCTTAAGAATAAAGAAGATAATGTGGATGGGAAATTTGGTTAATTGGTTGATGATTAAACATAATAATTATATTATTGTGGGTTGAAAACCCTATCTACTCACCAGGTTTTCTCAACCTGACCCACTCAATTTATTCTATCAAAGGTAGCGATATTAAAGATACATTCTGTTGAAAGATTCAAGGAGTATTAGGTCACTAGTTTAATTACTGTAAGGCTTGTAATATTTCGTTATGCTTATGATTCTGTATTGACGATGATATCCCAATGTTCTAATATAAATAAAATAAATTTCTTCTGAAATGCTTTGATAATATCGTTATCATGTTTTCTGGGAACAAATTTTGCAATATTATTCTTCAAAAGGATACACTTATTTTTAAATAAGCATAAACAAATCGATCTTTTCTGGCCGTGAAATTTGGGGATGTCACACCACTAGCTGATAAGCTAGCTTATTTTTTTGAGCTTTTATAAGTTGTCATGTTTGGCAAGCCAAAAAATAGCTGATAAACTAGCTTTTTTAAAAACTACTTAAACTAGCTTTTTAGGAGTTTTTTTTAAATTTTCCAAATATACTCCTTAATTAATCATGAAAACACATTCTTTTAAATGTCTGTTTATGTTATTTTATATCTTTCAGCTAGTTTTACCGAGTGTTATTTTTTATCAGCTAGTTTTTTAGATACCAATACCTTTTTATTTAACAACTAGTTTTTTAGCAATTAGCTAGCTTTTTAACTAACAACTAGTTTTTCAGTTAGCACATCAAACATAGCCTTAGTAGTTTTTTAAAAAGCTAGCTTATAAACTAGCGGATAAGCTACTTTTTGGCTTCCCAAACATAATAACTTAAAATAATTAAAAAATAAGCTAGTTGTGGTGCGCCAAACACAACCTAAATAATTAGTTTTTTATTTTTAAAATTTCACTACTTTATCTTTTGTTAATTTTATTAACTTATATGATTTCATTAATTATATTATTCGGTTTCCCTTTTGTGAATATTTGTAATGTAATTATTTGTAGTATCTATAAATTATAATACAACTTTTTTATGATTTAACTTTTTTTTTCTACCTAGATTTGTTAACTTTATGTAGCTTGTTTATTTATATGTCGTTATTTACAAGTTAATTATAAGTTGTAGGATAGTTATTTTGTTGTATTCTATGTTTTGAATTGTTAAATTCATTGAAAATCATATATAGTAATTAGCAATTGTGATTTTTTTTTCTTTTTATTTTTAATAACATTGTATTTTGTCATCATTTTTTATTCTTTTACATTGTTAACTATATCATGATATTGCTTAAGTTATTATTTGTTTTCGTCGACTTTTGACCTAAATATTTTGCTAGTAATAACTAATTAACTAGTGTAAACGCCGCATATCCTATATGTTTTTTCTACATCCACCACTGAGCGGATCTCCCATGGTATGAACTTATGTTGATATGTGTAACTCAGTCCATTAGTTAGGGTTTACGTTTTTACTTTGCCTATTTATAAAGGATGTCAGCTAGGGTTTCAATGACGTTTCAATGACATTGTACTATCGTGTTTAAGCTAATGAATAAAAATGTTATCATGTTCTATGAATATATATCATATCGACCGAAACACGTTAAATATTATATATATATATATATATATATATATATATATATATATATATATACGTTTTTATCTTTGGAAAATCATTAGAAATAATATTTTGGTAAAATTTCAATCGAAATTCTCTTATAAGATGCACGGTATATTTTGTTTAGTCGTTATATAAAATAAATCAGATACTATAAATATATAAAAAGAAGAGTTTAATAAATGGTATGGCAAGTAAGCGTCAAATTCTCTATAATATTGATAAGACATAATTAGGGGTTACATGCGTAATTCTTTTGCATATATATGCCAAAATAGAACAGATGTGTCCACTTAATAATAATATGTGGCTCAAAGCAAACCATGGAATATTTATTTTGATAATCTTTTGATAAATAGATAAGTCCAGCTTATTCGTTCGTCAGTATTCTATGATTAATATAATTATAATGTGATGTTTAAAACAAAACTTCTATTAATTTTGTACTGAAATAAGGACGGTGCTAAATAAAACCACAATATATGTGTAGTGACGTCTAGGGGGTTCACTTCCATGGGAGTAAATTACATGTCTGGTCCCGGATGTTTGTGAAAAATATCACATCTAGTTCAAAGGTTTCAATTCTTGCAAAGATAGTCCCTAATCGAAACTTAAATAGCGTAGTTGCCTAGTTGGTCCCTCATCCTAACAGCCGGAAGAACAAAATTATGCACATGAATCTCTTTCTTGTCAAAAAAACAAAAAAAAAACAATCTTATCTTACTTTTGATTTGTATAACCTTGGGAAAATTCTAAGGAATGACAATATGTGTTTCTATTAGTACTAAAGACAATGCACTCTTTTTTAACCCATATTAGCAACGTATTTTAATTTTTATCAATAATAACAACATATTTTATATTTATTGATAATATCAACATACTATATATATTTATCCATAACAACAACATACTTATATTTTATTTATGCATAGTTATAAATTGATTGTTAGGCAGAGTTATATTTTTTTTAATCCTAAGCTTATATTTTCATTACACATAATAGCAACATATGTATACATTAACTGCTAGGCAAGTTGTATCTTGCTACTTGATTGTTGCCATATGCCATATTGCTAAGTGGTTAGACTAATTTTGGTTTTTAAAATCTAAATTTGACGCTCTCAATTAATAAGGGTATCTGTAGGTTGTTAGATTTAAAAGACCATCGGACCAAGTGATGCATCAATTGCAAATGCTATGTATAAGAAATTATTTGTCTTCAAAAGCAAGTGATGTCTAGCCTAGCTGGGTTGATGCATCGGGTTTTATACCCATGTTGGGTGTGAGGTTGGGAGTTTGATTCCCTTAAACTACTTCTTATGGTGCCACATGTGGGAAATTTTTCCCTGAAAAATCCCTATTGGGGGGGGGGGGGGGGTTGACCTGTAAAGGAGCTCGAACTCGGGGTGCTCGTTGAAATATTGTGAGTATGCTTCCACTTAATACGTTTGTCGTTTCCAACAAAATTTGTCTTGAAATTCTTACATATTTCAAATTTAACTTTAAAAAGTCAACTTTGCCTTGAGATATATATCGATGGACTTGTACAGTCCGTCATCAATTGGCCTTGCAAAATTAGACACGGTAATAATCATCGTTCCTCCATCCAATTTAGGTCCAATGGAGACAAAATTGATTTTTCATTTTAGTTGAAACAACATAGGGATGCATGTATTGTGGTTGTTGTCGGATTCTTTATACGTGGGAAATAAATGGGTGTATGGTGGTTGTCGAAAGAATGAAAGGAAGAGGATGGAGTACTCACATTCCCGTAAAGAGGGAAATGGGCGGATGTATGATGGTTGTTGAATTTGTTAATATACAGGTTTGGGTTTCTCTCTTTTCTCATCGGAAGTCTGATCGGATCGGCTAGCTTGACTACTAGCATTCCAGTTAAGAGGGAAAAGAAAGTAGTGGAATTAGGTTATATCATCTAAGTATTACTTTTTAACATGTTCCAATGTCTTGTTTAATAGTTCATCTTATACTTCGATGGCTCAAAATGCACAAAAGTTAATTTATAGACTATATAAAACCAAAAGCAAGAGTTTGTAGGATTTTAATGACAATAACCCCTCTTGGATAATCTAGCTAACATCTTATGAAAACAAAATTGTATGGACGAAACAAGGTATTAGAAGTTTTTGTTATGTGGATTACTTGTGAACCTTCACCGTATTTTATAAAGATCAAAACCACATATTTCGTAAGTTTAAGAAATCTAAAACCTCTTATTTTGTAGGTATGATACCAGATAGTTCCGAAATAGTTCTCGGAAAAAAGTATTTCACAATTTATAATGTAGGTCGAAATTGACCAAGTTCCAAAATTGATGGTGAATTATACATAACAATGTTAATAGAGTACAACGGATCATGCATAGCAATGTTATATCCCCTAGATCTATAGTTATAGTCTTTAAAAGAATTAGTTTTATCATACAAAAAGGCTTAGCGGTGCAGCTTGTTGACCGCTTGTCATATCACTCGTTGAACGATGATAATTAAATTAATAAAAGTTATAACTGTGCTAATTATATAATTAAAAGAAAATTGGTATTTTTGTGAATCTCACTTTAATTAATAACAATAAGCCATTGTTATGAACAAACAATATTAAATTAAAGGATCGGGCACATCTCTTAAATAAGAAAGCTTGATGCATAATTGCCCAAAGAATTCATGCCTCCGGCGTAAACCAGCTTTATCTCTCCCTCTCGCTTAACCAACAATATCACTCCACTTTTTTGGTTTTTGTTTATGGGTTCTGGTTTTTCAAGCATCTTTTCGGACAACAATGACAAAGCTCCGGCGAGCAGCAGCCTGCAGGGTTTGGGAGACTTGCCGGAGAACTGTTTAGCTATGGTCCTCGAACACTTTGACGCACCGGAGATCTGTAACTTGGCCCTTGTGAATCGTGTTTTTTATCAGGCTTCTTGTGCTGATTTACTGTGGGAATCAAAGTTGCCGGAAAACTATGGTGTTCTTATCAAGAAACTGCTGATGTTACACGAGGATGATAGCAGTTTCAGATGTTTGCGTAAGAAAGATATATATAGTAGATTGTGTTATCCCATTCGCATCTCAAATGGTACCAAGGTATTATTGCTTATCAGCTCCATCTCTTTGTATGTATTAATGGTGTTTGGTTTGATTAGTGTGTGTTTTGATCGACGTACAGGAGGTCTGGAATGAGAAGAAAAGAGGTGGAATATGCATGCTTGTTTCTTGGAAAGGGATGAAGATAACCGGAATACATGATCGGAGATATTGGACCCATGTCTCTACTCTTCAATCCAGGTTTTAGTTCATTTTATAATTATAAATCTATTAATCATCGTTCTTATCATAAAAATATCGTATTTTTATTTTTAACGAATGAACTAAACAGAGACAACGTTCAACTACTTAGATGTGCTAATTATTAATGATTATCTTAGTATTTTCATAAAACTTCGATATGTGGAAATCAATTTCTTATTTTCTTTTAAGATTTTCTCCCGTAATTATTTAACGATATGCATGTGAATAGTTATGACTTCTGATATGCAGATGTTGACAAGATTTAACTTTCCAATTACAATTATTTTTTTAATTTATTCTTAATTATATGAGTTATATGTGAAACCAAGCATCGTATTTTTTTACAAAATGGAATTTTCGGATGAATTTAATTAGTACAAAACTATTTTGGATTTGACTAGCAAAAACTACATCAAATAAAAAACTATATCTCAAATAAATAAACTAATATTATCTGTTTAATATTCCTCGTAGTCTTCTTTGCCTTCCAACTCACGTTCTTTTTCCCAAACACATACGTATCCTCTTCTCCAATCAATACACAACAAGAGATCTTGCTTCAAAATTAAAATTATCTTAATATTTTAATGATTATAAATAAGCTAACGCTTTGATTAAATAATGCCAAAAAGATGCTAACGTATTTATCTATTACACAAGATATATGTTTATTTTGTATACACCTTCAATAAAAGTATTTTACGGATTAATTAAAAATACTTTGTTTTAAATTCATACACGAGTATTTATCGCTTTTAGAAAAGCTTGTGTCAAATTGTTTTTATGGTAACCATGTCAAGAAAAATCTACAAATAAACACTCGAGGATTATAGTTGTTTTGACTTAAGGTTTTTAATTTATTATTATTGTTATTTTGAAGGTTTCATACAATTGCATACCTTAAACAAATATGGTGGCTAGAAGTTGAAGGAGATATTGATTTTGATTTCCCACCAGGGAATTACAGCTTATATTTTCGTCTATATCTTGGAAAAGTATCTGCAAGACAAATCCAACACGGTTCATTTAACAATGATCAAGTCCATGGTTGGGCAATCAATCCAGTATGCTTTAGATTTTGGGTTTCAAATGGTGAGCATGCCATGTCTAAACATTTTCTAAACGAGCAAGGCAAATGGATATGTTATCATGTGGGAGATTTTCTTGTTGATCATGACTGTAATTATGAATCAACGAAGATCAAGTTCTCAATGACACAAATTGATTGTACTCATCAGAAAGGAGGTTTGTCATTGGATTCTGTGCTCATATGTCCTCGGGAAATTGAGACGTGTCACTTGGTTTGAGTGACATGAGTTCGAGCCTCGAGCCTTGGTTCAAAATGGAACACTTCTGGTTTTGTATAGAAAAAACATGTTTGTGAATAGTTTTGCTTGTAAGCATTATAGCCGTCTATCACAATTTGTTTTAATGCGGTATATTTGTTTATATATAAACTTACGGTCTCTGACATAAAAGAAATAGCTCATCATTTTTTAATATATAGTACAACCATCTAATGTATACATTGTTGTGTGTCGCTAAAAAGTATTCTGAACAAATAAGTATTAATTGGACTTCATGATTAAGGTGGTGTTTGTTTTTTGTTTGCAGATCTGCGTGGCCTCTTCTGTCTGTGCCGCGCAGACCACGCGCAGACATTAGTCTTCGCAGACACTACAAGGAAATGAGCAATTAGCGGCGACAAAAGTCGCCGGTAAAGGGTCGAGAAGTCGCCGCTAAAGCTAATAGCGGCGACACGTCGCCGGTAAAGAGTCGCCGCTACTGCTTCGTCGCTATTGATCAGATTGTCGCCGCTAAAGACAAATGTCGCCGCTAATGCACCTGTCGCCGCTAAAGAGAATGTCGCCGGTAATACTCATGTCGCCGGTAATAGTGTCGCCGGTAATAACGTTTTTCATTTTTTTTTTATATTTGCGATTTTGGGTATAATTTATTCCAAATATTGTTATAATTAATTCTATACCAAAAATTACATAACAACATCAAATTAAATACCAAATATTGATATAATTAATTTAATACCAAAATAAAACAACCAAAAGTTTGATAATTCAAATCAAAGAGATGGTATTTAGACCAACTACACATAATTTCACATAATAACAACATACTTCTACCAAATACTCATATACCACATATACATCAAACACACATACATTGACATATATACACCAAATTTATAGAGATTCACATACAAATATCAAATATACATACATATGACAATTTTCAAATAATTGAGACAACTACACATATTTTGCAATTAAACTAAAATTTCACAATAAATAGAAGTAAATAGAACCTGTGGTGGCGGAAATCAATGAAAATGGTTCAGTGGTGGCGGTAGTCGCGGGTGGTGGTCGACAACGTAGTAACACAATCAACAAAACTGAAATTGACAATTTTTTACGATTAATCACTCCAATAAGCTTAAAATCGATGTTACAAGAGAAAATGGATCGAAAATTGACCTGGAAATAGTTTGGTGTTGCCGGAAAAAGCTTGGTGTCGCCGGAAAAGCTTGGTCCTCACCGGAAAATCTTTCTCCACCGGTGGTATCTTCTTTGTGGACAATTTCACACCCAAAATTGATAATTCTCAATGGTATCCCACAATAATCGGCGAAGTAAGATGCAGACGAGAGAAGAGAAAGAGGCGAAGGAAGTGAAACAGAAAGAGCAAAAGGAAAAAGATCGAGTTTTTTGGGGTTAATTGCGTCGGCCTTTAGCGGCGACACCTTTACCGGCGACAAATTGGTCTTTAGCGGCAACAACTATCAATAGCGGCGACTATCAAGAGGGAATTATTAACCGCGTCATTTTTTACCTTTAGCGGCGACTTTTTTGGATCTTCGGCGGCGACAAAAGTCGTCGGTATTTCCTTTATGTGTTCCACGAGCACCCTAGCCGTTGGATTAGAACCACGATCGGACGATTCGTGTTTACCAGAACGTCAAAGAGCGGATCGGTGTCATTCAGCCTTTAGCGGCGACTTTTTAATTTGTCGCCGCTAAAGCTCTCTGTCGCCGCTATTGATGTCGCCGCTAAAGGCTCCGTTTCTTGTAGTGAGAGTGTTTGTTTTTTTAAAAATTGCAGACCTAAAAATGTCCGCGCGCCCTCTTCTTAGCGCAGATTTGGACCAGAGTCTTCTAACATCTTCAGACATCTTCTAGCCTAAAAAAACACATATATATTTATTTTTTTTAAGTTTTTTTTTTTAATTTATATTTTTTCCAACTTTATTAATGATAAACAATTTGAAAAAAAAATTACAAAACTTAAAAAAAAACGTTCAACGATACAAACATGATATTTTTGACAAATTTATAAATAAATATTTATTACAATAATAATCGTTGAAGTTGTTTATATAAATATGAAAAAAAAAATCATAATATATATTCTTATATTTTTTTGCCAAATTTTGTAAAACATTATTTAATACAGTATCGTCAATTTCTCGAGAAAATATTTATGGTACGTTTTTAATGAATTTAATTGAAAAAATCGAAGTTTATTTCCATCCATTTATGTATCAAATTTTTTGATCCTTAATTATAATGTTTAGTTATAACTTTGAAAAATATTTATGATACGTTTTTAATGAATTTAATTGAAAAAAATCGAAGTGTATTTCCATCCATTTATGTATCAAATTTTTTGATCCCTAATTATAATGTTTAGTTATAACTTTGCAACCAAAGTTGTTGGTTTTTTATCAAATATATACGTTAATTAATACAATTTTTAGTTTTATTTTTTATACAATAATACATAAAAGTTGATCTAGATTTGTTAACTATTTATAACAAAGTCATAAAAATATTAAAAAATCACTTTGAAGTTTAAAAAAATCAGTTTATTTAGATTTCAGTTTATTTTAGTAGCCTGCAGATGTTAAAAAAACAAACAGTCTTCTTTTTTCAGACTGCAGACGTTTGGTCTACCTCTTCTACTGCAGAGGTCTACAGATGTGGTCCGCAGACTGCAGACATATTGCCTCAGAAAAAACAAACAACACCTAACTACAGTCTATCCCAACTCAAATCCCTATTCAAAAGCTAATTTTCTTGATTTATACACTTCATAAAGGTTGAGTTCATATATCAAGATACCTATATTTTGGGGACTATATAAAACGACCACTAACATCTTGAAACTAAGGTTGTGAGTTTGTGTGAACTCGCTTTGGGTTAAGTACAATGATTCTCCTCAATTTAAATCGGGCATAACCGTGGGGATAGGACATAACTCCCGTTGTTTAAGGGTAAAAGGTTTAAAAGGTAGTTGAGAAAAAAATTAGTTGGGGTTGGGAAGGAAAGAGCGAAAGGATTAGAGCTTTTTTTTCAAGGAGCCTACTCTGTTTGGATTAAATATTGATTCATTAATAGTGACAAGAGCTTTTTCTTTCCTTTCAAAGAGACATTTGATTTGGGCGTTTTGGTATGTAGCATTTTGGAACGTTTGGGAGCTTCTAGTTTTCTAACATTTAACAAAAAGTCTATTTTGACACTATACGTTTTTAACGTTTAGTTTAAACAAAACGTTTCAAATCTAAAGTATCTCATGTAGCTTTTAATAAAACGCTACTAACAACCAGCTATCAGCTTCCTGCTAACTACTACCAGCTAGTTTTGTCAAACACATCATTTGTCCGACTTCTTCTAAGGGCGTGTTCGGCAAAGAGCGTTTGGGAGCGTTTGAGAGCTTCTAGCTTCTAGCGTTTGACAAAACGTTCCTTTTTGAACAGAAAGTCTCGTTCGGCACTACAAGCTTCTAGCGTTTAGTTTAAACAAAACGCTTCAAATCCAAATGCTACTTCATGTAGCGTTTAACAAAACGCTACAAGCTACAAACTACCTGCTACACGCTACAAGTCACCTGCTACCAGCTAATTTTACCGAACACGCCCTAAAAGCTAAACATTCTATTGATCAACAAAATTTTTGATAAGATAAAAAAACGCTAATATTTATTTATTAACAATTTCATATAATTATTACCAAAAAATACTAATAATTTTTTGATATTTTGTTGGCATTCTCATATTCTTTGCGAAAGTTAGTTGTGGCCTCTTTGAGAGATGTATTGAGGTGGTGGGACTTGGAATGACAATTGTGTTGTTTGGTTTGATATTTGATACTGAACTTTATGAGAAAATTTTATAACTAATTTTTTTTAAACAAACCATTTAAATTGTCTTTTAAGTTCCAACAAAACCAATTTATTATGGAAAAAGATAACTAATTTAAGGTTTATCTGGTTTGACCTGTTATTACAAGTTTACTAGCCCCCGCAATGAGAGTCAGTGATGTGTAGAATTCCACACATAAGGCCTATGGTTCAAACACTGACACATTTAGAATATTGTTAGTATTCTACGATTGACCTCTCGTATGACCCTGGACAGATTGACATTGGTTGGTCAGATGTTGTGGTTTATCATTTTATTATAAGTTTACTATGCCATTTACATATTTATATTTTTAGGCATGTTTTTTAAATTTGCTATAAATTTGCTTCAAATATGTTTTCTATACATCCACCCCAAACTTTATTCTTTATTTTTTTTTTTATTTTTTTTTTTTAAATTATGATTTGTTAAGACTTTCTGTATAATTTTATAGACTTTTTAGAAAATTTCTTAAGCTTCTTATACAAACGTTTTGACAAAATATTTAACAACCTTTTTATAATTTTCTTGCTAACTTTTTTTAATAAACAATCTTTCTAAACGTTTTTAACTCTTTTTAAACTTATTTTACACCAATTTTAAACATTTTTTTTCAATCTTTTTCTCCCTAACCTTTTTAATCTACTTTACAACTATTTTTAACTTTTTTTACAACCTCATAATGTAATAAAAAAAAGTTTAAAAGGTTTGAAATGTTATCAAAAAAACATTAGTAAAAAGGTTTAGAAACGAAAGTTATAAAAAAGATTTTTGAAACTTTTCAAACCTTAATTATCCTATACTAAGCACAGAGAAAGTAAGTAATTTTTATGTTTTTCTCGGTGTGAATATGATCTCGTCAGAAGAAGCAAATGCATAGTAAATTGAAGATCATTTACAATCGTTGGTACAAGAATTTAGTAGAGGTTAGTAGTTCACACTACCGAATAGTGCAACAACAATAATTTGTTGATAGTTGTTCACTAATGACAATGAAATGCCCACATGTTGAGATATTTTTAAGTTGTTTGTTTGTTTCCTCTACGACTAAATCAAAAGCAGAATTTAGAATATTAGTATTGATTCAATAAAATTGGATATATGTTTTGTATTGTATTGGTTATATAAAACCAGATATCATTTAACAATTTATTTGGAAATAATTCACAATAAATCAGCATTTTCATATGCATGAGTTTTGTTAACAAACATTTTTTAAAGAAAGCATCAACTTTTTCGGAGGTATATGTTTTGTATTGTATTGGTTGTTTGTCCTTGCCTCAATGTGTCTTTATATACAAATTGAATTGTCGACTCATGAGTACATAGGAAGGCATTTTTACAAGGTTTTTCTGAAACATGTTGTACTTAAAGCAATTCTTACGAAATAAATTGCACTCACAAGAACAAAACGAGCTTATTTTTGGGAAAAAAGTGATCGTTAACGTAGAGGTCTTATTTCACGGGATAAGTGGGTTTTTTTTTTTAAATATGATTGAAATGGTTATCCTGAAATAGCAAACACCTTCGATTTTTATAGTTATTGGTTATGCTTATATTTTACAACAATTTTCACAAAGCACGTGACAAAATGACTCAAACAAGTCCCAACAACGTGGGTTTTTGTTTTTTACGTTACATTCACAAGCAAAAGGTCAAAATTCATGCCTACAGGGTGATTTTACAACCTAACTAAATAACAATTTACATAAATTCTGCGTTGGACACCCCACATGCACAACGGCCCACATCATTCATTGAGGACTATTAGAAAAAGAAAGAAAAAAAAAGATGTCAACGTATATGATGATAATAGTCCAATAGTCAAAATACAAACTGTACATTGATAGAATTCCAAATTCAGCCCTTCCAACCACCATACTCCAATTCATCATTATCAAAAAACCCACTCCCATTAAACTCACTCCCTATATCCCCAACAATATCATCACACAAACTCCCCAAATCTTTCCGATCCCCTACACCTACCCCCACCCCAACGACCCCTACACCCACACCCACACCCACACCAGCAGACGAATCACTCCGTGAAGCCCCCTTAAAACTATTACTTCTAGTCGGGACAGCTGGCGGCCGTGAAGTACCCGATGACGACATCCCGTATCTCCCCATACTCCCGCTGGCGGCACTTTGCCCCGAATGCGACGGCTTTGCACCACCACCACCGCCGCTACTCATGTCTTGAAGAAGCTGCTGGATCATGTGTTGCTGCATTTGACTGCCACTGTGAGAGGGTGACTGTTGATTGAAAATAGGCCTTTGTTGTTGTTGTTGTTGTTGTTGTTGTTGTTGGATCATATGTGGGTTAGGGTTTAACAACCCACCCGACCCGGACCCGGACACGGTTTGAAATGGGTAATTCTGTTGGTTTGAGTTGTTGAAAGAAGAAGAAGCTTCTTGTTGTTGAGATTGGGAGTTTGAATTCATTGAGTTTTGTCTCATTAGCATGTTTTGAAAGTTTGATAGTGCAACTGCAGCTTGGGTTTGGGTTGTACCATTATTCAGTGGGGCCCGTGGACCCATCTGTTGTTGACTGTTGTTGGTCAACGACACTAGTTTACTCAGGGTGTTTCGGTCTGGAATGCTAGATATTTGCTCCATTTGTGATTTCACTGAAGAGCTTGTTTGTCGTGGATAGCTTTTTAATCCCTCTGTTAAATATAAAAAATTAGATTTTGGTGACTAATTTCAGTTGATTTAACGACTTTGGTCCCTGGGTTGTGTTTTTAATAGTTTTGTTTAGCAATTTTGTTGCTTACTGCTGCAATAATTGAAAGCAGACACCAAAATAGTAAGAGGGATCTATTTGGGACCAAAACTGAAGTTTTTGAACAAACTCAAGGACCAAAAAGGAAATCTATCAAGAAAACTGTTATCGAAATCATTACCGATAGGGCCCGCTTTAGTTTCACGACAGAAATCCATCAAGTCTTTCATGCTATTGACCACTTCAGATATCTATCACAAATCCATGTTGCAATTAATTAGTATATACCAAAAAACAAGATTAAGGAAAAAAAAAAAAATTAATAATAATAACAAGAAGAAGGGTATTTCACCTGTAAGCACCTAACATATCTTTTGGAAAAACCCAAGTCGTTTAATGATTGCAACTCTAAGCTTCTCGCCAGCTGTCGCCCAGCTGTCACGACCCTGTGGCAATCAATCATACAAGTCAGCATCTCAAAAGTCAAAACATAACAAAATATTCTTGACACTCACATGTTGCTATTTGTCTGTAAATCTTGCTGGGAGACACCATCAGAACCACTTTCAGCTATTGTAGATTGGCATTTTTGTGCAACTTGTAACAACTGATTCACCTATGAAAAAAAAAAGATATAAAGAACATGATAAAACGGATTCATAAATTCAATTGTCAAGTTTTTCATGAAGAAGAAAAATTTTGTACCTGAGGTGCAACCAATCTACGTGGAAGAAGCTCCTCATGTCTTCGTGCACAGAATTCCCAGGTTAATATCTGAAATGATACATGTATATATAAGTAAAATAAATTAAATACACACCACAAAATATGATGAACAATATATATATAATATATCACCTTTAAATCGGGGGTGAAAATAACTTTGAGTTGACCTTCACGAACCACACGAAGTTGCTCATATATACTTTCTTGAACAGCTTGTCCATATTCCAACACCATTATTCCAGAAGGAAATCTATATTCCCGAGGTAAATCAAGAAACAAAAGCTCATCGATTACACCACTTCCAAATTTTATTTCATTCAGTCTCGGTAGAACTTCAAAAGTTGCCTCTGTTTCAACATATAAAATCAACTTAGAAATCTTAAAAGCAATACAAAACTTTATAGTATAACATAAGGATTGAATAAAGTGTAAACTACATACCAAATCCTCTTCCAGATTTTGACCCACAAATATCACACTGCCATGCATCCTAAAAATAAAAGTCAATAAAAACTTAGTGACTTTTAGAATTAAAAAAAAAACAGAACATAACACAGAATACATACCATTGCTGCCTGTGGGAATACACCCAATGAGTGATGCCCTACATTATCATATAAAGACAAACACCATCTTTTTTTAGCACGTGGAGAGTAATACTCTGCTACAAACTTCCTCCAGTAGGAAATAACATTATCCTGTAAACATTTATATCACATATTTAAACATTTAAGAATCAAGAAACAAGAAGAGAAATGTGACATTGAATTCTAGATAATCATACTCACAGCTGGACGTTGCCTTTGATGATACAAATACTGCATCAATCTTCTTGAGCATACACCACCATCATAAGGTCGTTTCACTGAAGATGAAGGTTGCAAGCTCTGTTGTTGAAGTTGTTGTCTTAACTGCAGCTGTTGCTGTTGCTGTTGTTGAAGCAGATGTGCTCGTTGGACAGGTGGCAAAGACTGCAGCAGCTGTTGCTGTTGTTGTTGTTGGCGTAGTCTTTGTTGTTGAATCAAAGTTTGTAGCTGTGGATTTGGGCTTTGTAACTCTTGTCTTTGTAATATCTGTTGTAAAACCTGTTGTTGCATCATGTCTTCTTGTTTGATGTCTAATCGAGGTTTCTTTTGTAAGTGGGAGATATTGTCGTTATCTTGAATGAATGATCCTGGAACTCGTGGGCCATTTGGGAGTGAGAGTGACACTTGTCGTGGGGGAGGCAATGACGTGGCAGTTGAAGCTCCCTGACGTGGCACTTGTTGAGATTGGGAATGTGGATCTTGATTATCTATAACAGAAGAGCCTGAAATGCTAATATTGTTTGAGGAGAATGATAAGGGGGATGCGGGTAATCTCATGTAAGATTCTGTGTTGGCACTTGCACTTCTTTGCATACGTGGGCCACCACCACCACCTCCTGAAAGCCCTGAATTAGCATCAGTAACCAATGAACTTGCACCAATACTAGGCCCTGAAGTAGCTACATTATTCATGTCCCCAGAGAGAGGTACCATGTTTGAACGTATGTTTCCTCCAAAAGACCCCAAATGGGGATTACCTAAAGCTTGAGACTGCATGTCTCCTTGGAAGAAGATTCCGGAACTGGAATTGGAATGTATCATTCCGACTCCGGCCCGAGAAGGCCCCATTCGTGATAGAGCCGTTTGCTGGCTGGAATCCAAGTAGTTATCCAGCGCCAGTGCTTTTGGTTGTGTAATCAACAATTAACAGGTAATTGAAATTGGATCTGTTCAATACCTCACAAAGAGGCAGATGTTTTCCACCTTGAATAAATTACACCCCACCCTAGAATTTTACAATCACCAGCCTCAATGATGTCCCTAATTAGAGATTCCAAATATAAAACAGACTCTAACCTCGAAGAGTTCACAAATTAAAAGAATTAAGAGAGGCAAACATCAGTAGTTCTTCATACAAAACCTGGAATCAAGAACAGGGAAGACGAACTAGATCAATACCAGCAACAGAGAATAAAGAAGGATTTCTTAAGATCAGAGGAACATATATGATATACCATAAAAAAACCCTAATTTGATTCGGAAGAAAACCTAATGTATAGCATAGCAGCTAAAACGCACGAAAGCATAAACATCGAAATTCCGCGAAATTATCACCAATGGAAGCGTAGAAGCAAAGAAAACCTCCAACTTAACAACTAATACTAAGTAATTAAAAAAATCACAAAGAACTTCATCACATTCATTGGAAACTGTAAAATTAGATCAAATCTCTAAAAAATAACGCTTCCGTATGTTACTGAAAGAGGGGATAGTAAAAACTAAAAACCCCATCGAACCCTACCACTTTAAATCAAAACTAAACAAGAAATTTGAGCTTGAATTCAAATTTTGAAAAAGAAGAAAAGCAAACAGATAAAGATCTGGTTTTTTGCACGGTTTAGGCATTGATCAATAAGTTGAAGCAAACGGCATTGAAGATTAGCACAAATTTAGCAAAATTAAAAGGTAATAAAAAATTGCTTACCAATCAAATCAGCTAACTTTCAAATTAATTCTGAGAAACCATAGATATGGAGCTAAAAAATGGCAGTGTTCGATCGGAGTTTATGTATCTAGCGGGAATCGGAGAGGGGAGAGTGACCGGAAGTGCCGGTGGATAGCCCTACGCGACTGTCTGTAGCCGGTTTATGTTCGGGACGCGTGTGATCTAATAGATCGGGCGGTGATCAGGTGCATCGAGGACACGTGTCAAAATCTGATCCAACTGATGGATGGTTCTTGACAGGGTAGGTCTTGAGAGGAATAATCTAGTACAGGCGTATTTTCGGTTAGATCAGGAACAGCTGACTCGGTGGAGAATGAGTTCAACTCGTTTTCTCTGGCCCAAGACAAAGAAAAAGTTGAAGATAGACCGAGTCAGTCAGAAGTCGGCCTTTTGACTTCACTTTAAAACCGAATTACACAGATAGTCCCTACACAATTCGGATCTGCAACTTTTGTCTCTTGAGAAATTTATTTATGATTTTCGTCCTTGAGATAGTAGTAGTTCAATCTCTTTTAAATCCATCACATACTTCGATGAAAGTTTCGAATTACAACACATCACTTGATTAAAATGTACAAGTTGAGATAGTATATTTGGCTAACTTGTTGGTTCTAAACTAATCTCTAACTAAAAGGTCTTGGGTTCAATCCCAAAAAAAAGTAATCTTATTCAATATTTTACATTTTTGTTTAAAATATTGAATGAGATTACTCTCTCGTCTCTTTTTTTTTATATTGTTGTAAAATCTTCTTCTATTACGCTAAGGTAATATTTGGACTTTGGGTTCAACAGTCAAGAAAACCCATTCTTATTATCATATCGTGGGAAAAACAAATCTCAAGTAAAAGATAAATTTATTATAAGAAGATTGTGTTAAACACATTTATCATCTTTTGTTAATTTTTTTATAGTTTCCTACATATCTCACAAACAATTAATATAAATGTCAATGTTGTTGAAATAATAACTTGCTAGTTTGGAACTGTCTTTTGTTCTAACTCGTTTAAAATTTTCAGTGAGTAAAATCAAATTCTTGCAACTTGTATAATCAACACCAACACAATCTTCAATTCAGTCAAAATAGCATACAAAACTATATCTATTGTATAATCATATCTCAAATGATGCATCCCACCAAACATACAACGTTGATTGTGAAACAAAATTGTGATTATATGTTACACGAGCAATCAAAGGTAAAAGAAAAAAACATCAAAGAAAAATTAACATGATACGGTCGATATGACATACGTCTACAGACAAGAACCGAAGAACTTTTCTATTACTCGATTGTTTTCAAAGTGATATATTGGAATCTTTAGTTATGAATACTTATAACTGTTACCCTAACAACTATAGAGTCGTATTTATATACATGTAATTCTGAAAATACTAAACATGACCTATCACAGGTCTCTGCATCCGTACGCAATTGTCATCTAGGCTTCTTTACTTCGTTTTGTGTTATGTTATATGTTCGGACCACCAAATTTCAAATCACACTCTAACATTATTCACATTTTATTTTTTGGAAAGTTTCATGTAATATTCGTATTTTATTGTTAACTAAAATGAACAGAAAGATGTTAATAAATTATACCAAAAACATTTTTTTATCAAGTGCCGTTTTTTATAATAAATATGTAATATAATTACCATTATTATAGACATATTGACATGTGAGAAAACCAAGAAAAAAATAGCTAATGGGGTTGCACAAGAAACCATATTTGTAATACAGTTCCCCATTTAAGTATGCAATAATGCAAAATGTAGAAAAAATCTGGAGGGACTAGAAAGGCATATCTGTAATAGTGTAAGGGCTGTGAATATAGTTTTTCTTACTTTCGTTTATTGAATAATTTAATTGGTGGTGGGTCCCAATAAAATAATAACCTCTTGTTATTATTTTATATGATATTTTTTCAAAATTTGTTTAATTTTTATTTTTTAAATGACCGAACTAATAAAATTTTCCACATCAAATTGTAGAAATAATTTGAGCTCGAATTTAACAAAACAATAAGTTATAAGTTAATAGGTAAAATTTTAAAGTTTTGATGCATATCTTTATTGTGTTAAAGATATTTTCATGAAATAGAGCTTAGAATTCTATATTAATTTATAAATGCATGCTGAAATCATGTGGATATTTTCTAACCTATTCAATTAGCACATGGTATCTAGAATACATCTTAGAGTTAACTTTATTGCGACATTAATCTAAAAAAGGAAAAGAAAAAAAGATTTTTTTATTCTGTTGGGTTATATCCATTGCAATTTTGTCGAACAAAATTTAAACAACATCCTAAAATTTCTGTCTTTTTGGGATTTAACAAAAAAAAACTCTTGTCATCATTTCGATACATTCGAAAATCTGAACTTCAAATATATTTTTGCTATCGAGAGAGTTCATTCAGGAAACCTATTTCTACAAGAATTTCTCTAAGCCGTAAACCAAATTCTGCAAGTAAAAAAATAAATGATTAAATCAATTAGGAACAAAAATAAAAGAATTTTAAAGAAATACGGGTCCAAAATGAGTACCTTAAGACGCACAACTTGACTAATCGCTAGAATAAGTCCTGGCATGAGACATTGGACATTCGTGATATCGTGTTTGATAGAATACATCTGGCGAATTCAGAATAAAAATTCAACCAAGGTCCATAATATAATAAAATGACATAAATTGTATATTTTTGTAAAATCTAAATTAGCGGTGGGATTTGTTGAACACAATTGATAAAATAAAACAGATGTACAAAAACAACTTCTTATTATAACTCAACAAAATAACTCAAAACTTTGATTACAAACAATCAAATGAGCTCTCTTAACCAATCACACCATAGAAAATACATAGCTCCTAGTATCCTACTCGAACTATGATTCATAAATGTCCTTTATACACCAACTTGTGCATAAGGGCATATTCGAAAATCACACAATATTTACGCCCCTAATTTCTAAATAGAAATTGAGAGATCCTCTAATCCTAACAACTTGCGCATTTCAGTGAATTTGATCTTAGCAAGTGCTTTGGTTAGAATGTCAGCTCTTTGCTGATTCCCGTTAATGTGATCCACCATGATTTCCTTTTCATCCACCCTCTCACGTATGTAGTGAAACCAAGACTTGGTGTGTTTACTTCAACCATGAAAAATTGGATTTTTGATTAATGTTATTGCAGAAGTATTGTCAATTCGCAATACCACCTCTTGTATCTTCTCCCCATTTATTTCAATAACAAAATCACGAAGCCATATAACTTGACAACTTGTTGCACTTACAACCATGTACTCAGCTTCACACGAAGATAGTGCAATGGTTTCTTGTTTTTGTGAGCACCACGTGATCGGTGACTTGTTCAGATAAAAAATATGACCAGTTGTACTCTTTCCATCATCTTTATCAATGTTGTGATTGTTATCACTATAACCAACAATGTTGATAGATCCTACTCGAGTGTAACGTATCCCATACCCAAGAGTTCCTTCTACATACCATATGATCTGTTTGATGGCTGCCATGTGAGACTTCTTTGATTCTTATATATATCGACTTGTAATGCTAACTACATACGAGAGATTTGGCCTGGTTTGAATTAAATATCTTGTCTTCCTACTAAGCTTCGATATTCAGTGGCATCAACATCTTCTTAACTTTCTCATTTGGAAAACTTACATTCGAGTCCATTGGGACTAAAGTAGAGTTACAATCAAACATACCTACGTCTTTAAGGAGCTTTTTCGCACACCCTTCCTGAGTGATTGTAATATCTTTCTCTCTTTGATGTACTTTAATTCCAAGGTAATATGTAAGCAAGCCTAAATCAGTCATATCAATTCTCATAGCCATTGCTTGCTTGAATTTTGATATAATAACGGTGTTTGATCTTGTAATAACAAGATCATCAACGTACACACCAACAATGATTAAGTGTGTCTCTATTTTTCTCGAGTATACAGCCTATTCTTGTATACACCTTCAATACCTCGTGTCTTTCAATATTTTATCAAGCTTTATATTCCATGTTCGTGGTGCTTGCTTTAATCCATACAATGTTTTCTCAAGTTTAAACACCATGTTTTCCTGCCCTTATTTGACAAACCCTTCTGGTTGATGAACATATACAACTTCTTGTTGTTCACCATGTAAAAAACGTTGATTTTACATCAAGGTGATGTAATTCCCATCTTTTGAGTGATGCGAGGGCAATAAGTACTCGGACTGTATCTATACTGGAGCAAATACTTCTTCAAATTCAACTCCTTGTTGTTGCAGGTAACCTTTTGCTACAATCCTTGTTTTGTACTTAATGGACCCGTTTACGCCTCGTTTGACCTTAAAGACCCATTTTAAACCAATGATGGATGTATTGCTTGATCTTGGGACTAGCTTCCGAGTTTCATTCTTTTTAATTGAATCCATCTCTTCTTTCATAGCATCTACCCATCTTGGATTTTCCTTGGCTTCATAATAAGTTGATAGCTCGTCTTCATTTAAAAATAGTAAGAATTCGAGATTTTCAATAAGAAAATCCATGTCAAAGCCTTTAAATCTATTTGGTAAGTGAGTGATTTGACTTGACCTTTGACGAGTTCCAGCTGCTTGTATTGGCTCATGATGTTCGATTTCTTCATGATCCGTGTTTTCGTATGTCTAGTTGCCACCATCTTCATTGTTAGCAGCCTCATCTGCCTCGTTATCACCGATTTATGGTTCTACCTACACATCGATATTTTTTGGTTTATGTGTTATTCAGCCGTCCCCAGTATCTACAAGATTCGACCAATGAACCCAAAACATTTCGGGTTTAAGTGTGGGATTGGCTTTTTCTGTGCAGTTCCAGCTTGATTGTCCATCAAAAACAACGTCTCTTGACACTATAATCTTTTGTTTTTTCTGGATCATAGAGTTGATATCCTTTGGTTCTTGGTTCTGTTCCAAAGTGCACTGTCTTTATCGAGTGATCATGAAGTTTCTTCACATGTGGACCTACTATTTTCGAATAAGATATACAACCAAATACACATAGATGCTCAAATTCGTTTGTAGTAAGTTTCATATGGAGTTAACTCCTTTACCATTTGTGGTTAGAAGTCTGTTTATAATAGCTTCACCCC